CCCCGACCCCTGCTCTGTGTCATGCTGTCCCTCCATCGGGACAGCATCAGGGCCCGCCCTATGAGGGCCCGGAGCCAGAAATCCTGAGTGGTGAGCATGTGCCAGGCGCTGCGCTAAGGGCTCTTCTGGCACAGCCTCAGCCCCGCGAAGTAAGCCTGCGTGAAGTATTTATTCCTACTGCTGTTTCGCCAACAAGAAAACTGAGGCTCAGAGGGATTAAGCCGATCGCCCGAGGTCCCACAGCTAAGAAGTGCTGGAGCTGGGCTTTGAACTCAGGTCTGCCCGACTCCGAAGCAGGGCTTCTACCCAAGAGGCAATAAAACAAGGAAGACACGAAGGTATGTCGAGAGCAGTTCTGAAGGTGCGCGTAGAAAAGGCCGAGGCCCGCGCTCAGGTTTTCCATGGCCCTGCTTTGCTGCCAAGGACTCTTAGAAAACCTGTCAGTTGGTTCAGCCACGTGGGGGCGGGGCTAACAGAATCTGGAAATGTCTTCATCGGTTCCAAGGCACACACAAACATTACTTGCCCTCTCTGGGGGTCAACGTTCTTTATGATTTTTGCTCTCCAGGAAAATATTAGTTCATTTATATAAATGAAACATTACATATAGGGGGATGGGGATTGAAAACGTGGCATTCCTGGCCCTTTTTCCTCCCAGCCCAGAAACTGAGACGGTTTCTCCATTTCCGTTCTCACAGTCTATTTGCTGGTGTGGAGCTGCCGGCACAGTCACTGCCAGGGGTGGAGACGGGGCAGCCGTCTGTGGGGCGCAGGGGTTCTCACAGACACAGAGGGCACAGCATCAGCTCCGGGCCACGCTGGCACTAACCACGGCCTCCGAGAGACCCACGACCGGCTGTTCCCAATGCTGGAGTTGGCGGGTCTCATTGCCTGAGGGGGGTGGGCTGGCTGGAGAAGTGGGCACAGCCGCACAGAAGGGTCAGGGAGCCCACCGGCCATCTCGGTCGTGCTCATGCTGGCCTCCTCGGGCTCCTTCCTGCACCACGCCCTGTGCCCTCACGGCTCCTGCTGCTTGTCTCCTCTGCTAAAGCCTAAGCTCCATGCGGGCAGGTCTCTGCCTCGTTCCACTGGGTACCTGGCTCACTGCAAGCGTCTGGCTCACAGCAGGCCCTTGGCACGTACGTCCGGAGTGCAAAAGCCAATGAACGCATCTTGGGGCCTCTCCTTGGCAGGTGTGGGGGCGGGTGCCTGACTGCTGGAAAGGGAGCCCAGAGCTGTAGCTTGAACCCCCATCCTGAGGAGCTGAGGGAGGCTGCGTTCCTCCCATTCCTGGGACTGCAAGAGGCACATTCCTGTCCTTGGGCCTGGTCGGGCTCCTGCCACGCAGCCCGGTCTGACTGCCAGAGTGGGGACGGCGTCCTGGGAGCTGCCCCTCTGGTCCCGCCCTCCACAGGACCCCTCGGCTGTCCCAGGCCACAGCAGCCTCTCTGTCCTGGGAGAGGCTACGAGGCTGCGGGTGGGAAGCCAGGACCACTGAGTGCATCGGAAGCCTTCCAGACGCTCCCGGGCTCTCTGGTGTGATCAATGAAAACCTTAACATCCTGCTTCTAGGGTGGGAGCCAGGGCTTTGGAAAACTGGTGGAAAACACGCCTGTGAGCCGCTCTCGCACCACCGTGTGAAAACTGCCGCATCAGCACTTCCCTGGAAGGGAGTGCGGAGTCAGCAGTCGGTGGCCGGAGCTGCTTCCCAGAGCCCTGTGCCCGCAGGGGCCCGGCCAGCAGCTCAGAGATCCTGCCTGAAGGAGACCCGAGGGCAGGCGAGCAGCTCAGAGATCCTGCCTGAAGGAGACCCCAGGGCAGGCGAGGCGCCCGGGGGCCAGGCTCCGGGGACGCTGGCCGTGGCCCCTACCTCAGGGGGCCTTCAGTGCGGTGGGGGAGTCAGACAGGGGACAAATGTGCACAGGTAACGGTGTCCTTCCCACAGAGGGAAGAGCTGTGGAGAAGCACAGACCGTCCCTGCAAGAGTGTGCAACACTGGGTTGGCAAACTTTCTGTAAAAAGCCAGATGGTGAATATTTTAGGCTTTGGAGGCCATAGGGTCTCTGTCCCAACTACTCAGCTCGGCCACTGTCAGGGAAGCAGACACAGACAATGTCAACGGATGGGTGTGGTGTGCTCCCATACAAAAACAGGGGCGGGCTGGCCTCGGCCACGGCCTGCCAGCCCCGGTGTTAACTGTTAACAGCCCTGACCCCCCAGCTTGGGAGGGCGGGAGGGTGGAGTCCGCTGGGAGAAAAGCATCCCTGAGGCAGCAGTGTTTCACTAAAACCTGGAGGCTGATTCGGTGACGGAGGCACAATCATAATACCCACGACCATCACACCATCCCAATAACACTACCCTTGATGCGAGTGCTCGGTGTGTCAGGCACTGTGTTTCACACACGGGTTCTCAACACATTCCCACAACAACCCTGTGAGAGAGACACGACAACGCCTACTTTACAGATGGAGAAACCGAGGCTTGGCGGGTATGCCGGCTATTCTGTGTGCCCCTCAGATGCCGAGTCCTCCTCAGCTCAGCAATCGCTGGAGTGGGTGACACTTTTGCTGTCCCAGGTCCCTCAGCCTAGGGTGCTGGGGTCTCCCCGTTCTTTTTGCAATTCCCATTTCACCTTCGCTAGAGTCTCTTCACGTGAGCCGGGCCAGGGGGCGGGGGGCAATCTGTTCCCTGCGGGGATTCGGACTGGTGGTGGGTTGATTTGCTGGATTCTGGCCTCTACGGCTAATAAACAACAGAGCCAGAGGGAGGTGATGGTGGCTATAACAGGAGAGTCTGGCGAACCTCGATGAAGCTGGGCCAGGGGCTGGGTCTTGGCTCCTGGGCACTTGTTTCTAAAGTTCATTTATTTATTTTGAAAGAGAGAGAGGGAGAGAGAGAGAGAAAGGGAAGGAAAGAAAGAGAAAGGGGGAGGGGGAGAGAGAGAGAGAGAGAGAGAGAGAGAGAGAGAGAGAGAGAGAATCCCAAGAAGGCTCTGTCCTGTCTGCACAGAGCCCGACGCAGGGCTTGAACTCACGAACAGTGGGATCATGACCTGAGCCGAAACCAAGAGTTGGATGCTTAACCCACTGAGCTACCCAGGTGCCCCCGGCCCTCCCCACCGGCACTGGTTTTCATCATAGGCAGGGGTCAAAAGTCAGTGCAGCTCCTCCTTTCCTGCCTGGGGCTCAGTGAGAGGCCCAGCTCCTGAGGCCCGCAATTAGCATTGTTAGTTCTCTGAGCCTGGCTCCTGGTCTACAGCCTCCGGCCTAGCAGGGGGAGCCACTGATGCTCAGTGCAGAACTGGGCGGGGGGCCGGGGCAGGGGCGGTGGGGGAGCTGGGCTCTTCTTTTGGGAGGAGGTGTGAGGCAGGTGCCCTGATAACAAGCAGCCTGCAGGCCGAGTGGCTGATGCTCAGGAGGCGAGGCTGGCAGCCAAGGCTGCCCGAGCTGCAGGTGGGTGTGCGCAGGGCACTGGGGAGGGGGAGGCTCTCTGAAGACCAGGCGTGAGGCTACAGCAACGAGACCCGCTTGTGCTCTAGGCCACTGCTCACCAAAGGCCCACCCGGAGCCTCGGCCTGCTGCTTCCTCCCTTCCAGTCATTCATCTGTGAACCCTGTGAGGGCTGAGCATCTGTGGAGCACAAGCCTTATGAGGGGAGCTGGAGACTCAACAGGAACTAAGTGAGGCCCAGTGACCAAAGAGAACAATTACAAACTAGGGTGTCATAAAGAAACAAAGAGCTGAAATAAAGTCTCTCTGAGTTTAGAACGACGAGCAAGAGTGGACCATGGAAATATGAGGGAAAAGGCATTCCAGGCAGGTGCAAGGAGCCTGGCTGGGGAACTTCCCAGAGGCCTTGCTTCTCTTAAGCAGAGATGAGACTTGAGTTTGACCTGTGGCTGGAGAGAGTCCCTGGAGAGAGGCAGAGCTGACCCCTCAAGCCAAGGCTAAGGCCCCCTCTCTGCCATCTCTCTTCCTGGGCCACGCCTTACCCCCTAGCGGCTTTTGCGGCCCATCTCCCCTGCTAAAGCCTAAGCTCCGTGTGGGCAGGTCACCTCATTCCACTGGGTGCCTGGCTCACAGCAGACCCTCCCACCTCTCTCTGCTCAATGGCTCGTGCACATAGGGAGAGAAAAGGAGGCATGGGCCAGGCGCCGCAGGGGAGGAAGTAATGGAATCACACAGCAGGAAGGAGCACTAGGAGATGAATCCTCGGGCACCGTCCAGAGGGTGGAAAGATAAAGTGTGGCTGTGGGGACTTCTTGACACCTGGGGAAGGCCAGAGACTTGGCTGATCCAGTTAGGGCACGTTAACCAGAAAAGGCGGCAGAGGCCTCGTCCTCAAACTAATCTGAACAAGACTCAGGGGCAGAACGCTTTTCGATTCAAGCCCACTCTCTGCTCCGACTTTGGCATCACCTCCTGAAGACACAGTCTCAAATGGTTAGTGTTTCCTACTGTTCCTTCTATGGCCCTAAACAATTGTTTCGAGTCCTGTTCTTATTTCCCACATCCCTCTGATGGGAACCCTGTCCCCATCCCCCTGATCACTAGGGACACTGTGTATGTCCCAGTATGTGATAAAGCTGATGCTACAGGAAGGTGAGCCCTCTGTGTCTGGTGGCACCAAATACCCAGCACCTTGTGTATCCCTCCAGGGCAGTCAACCTGCACCAGGGCAGCAGGCCCGATGATAAGTGTCCAGGTGACTCAGGGAAGATCCTAGAGTTTTCCCTACCCTGTGCATGTTCCCAGCCTGGGATCCTGATCTGGCCTCTCTTGGGGCTGTTGGGTCCCAGGCTCTTCCAGGGAGCTCCAGCCCAGAGGCGTCCCACGGGGGCCCCATGGATTAGGAGCCCGGAAGGCTGATGTGCGAGGGCTACGGGACTGCGGAGTCTGCCAACCTACACCTGTGCTCTTGACCCACAGTCAGGGCCAGCCCCGGCAGCCATGCCTGGGCTACCAGCGGTGTGTCCCCACTCGAGGTGGCTACGATACCTGCAAGATCTTCCTTGGAAGAGACCAGTCTCGGAGAGCTGCTTCCTGGTTCGATTCTGAGTGACAGTCTGGAAGGGAAGATTTTTACAAGATCAGAGAGGCTCTGGGGTGTCAGAGGGGGACTGATCACATGTGTGTTCGGAGTCGGGAGACGGGACTGTTGCCAAGGGCTACAGTCTCGGAGCCCAGGAGTACTTTGGGGTCTGCTCCAGATCTCGGCCACTTCCCTGTGTGGTTCCCCAGGGCATTTCCATGACCCAGAAACAACGGTTAAGGAAGATACAGTCAAAAGAGTCATCGTGGCTCAGTATCTATTGGGCACAAATGTGTTCGTTCTCAAGACAAGCCCCTGGACTCAGTACGTTTATTGTCCCCAGCTACTAGATGAGGAAACTGAGGAACAGCAAGGCTCGGCGGCTTTCCCAAATCTGTGGGCTAGCAAGGGGCAGGCAGGCAACCAAAGCCAGGACTGTCTGACCTGAAATCAGAGTTTCTAATCATCACACCGCACCCCCTCTTGGACACCCCCAGGCAGGCACAAGGCAATGGATGCATCATGAGGACTGGCACCTCAACGCTGTTATTTTTAAAGCACTGATTAAGAACTTCTGGGAGAAGATAGCAGAGTGAAGCCAGATGCCAGACGCCACGCCCCCACCAACAAAACCAACAAATAGTTATACAGGCTTAGGGGTAGAAGAACTTACCAGATGCAACTCAGCAAGAAAAGGGGCATGAACTGAAGCCATGAACTTCAGAAACTTGCAGCCAAGGAAAGAAAAAGGATTGTAGAGTTTGACCAAGAGGCGTAACGCAGCACGGCTCCTATCCTGCCCTCCGAGGCTTCTCGGTAGGTGTTGGCGAGAAGCGGATGAAATGGGTGGACGGCATGTGGATACGCTGATGGAAATGAAGGCTCCATTGAGGGGGTGATTTGACACCTGAGGGCATCCAGGACTGCCCACCTGGGTGGCTCAGTCGGTTAGGCGTCCGACTTCAGCTCAGGTCATGATCACGCGGCTCATAAGCTCGAGTCCTGCGTCAGGCTCTGTGCTGACAGCTCAGACCTGGACGCTGCTTCCGATTCTGTGTCTCCCTCTCTCTCTGCGCCTCCCCCACTGATGTTCTGTCTCTCTCAAAAATAAATAAACATTTGAAACCTGAGGGCATGGGATACAGTCCCCTACAAGGTGGAGGAAACCTTAATGCAGGCCTTTTAATAGAGCCCGGTATCTAAAACACACTGCGTGCTCCCTGTGCCTCCTTGGAGCCTGAGCCCTGTGTTCCCCCAGGCTACCGAAGAAGAGAAGGACTTTAAGAACCTTGACCTAACAGCACAGCAGGAGGAAAAGCCAGCCCATCTCACACACGTGGGAGCAGGGTCAGATGTCACCTCCCTCCATCAGGGCCATGGAATACCCAGATGGAGCTTCTCAAAATGCGAGCAAGCAAAAAGAATTGGTGTGGCAAGCTAGCAAATGTCCTCTCACACAAAAAAGGAGAGAGAATAGAGTAGAGCACTGCCCAGATTGCTCGGCCCAGGAGGCAGCCCCGAGGAACACAAGGAAATCCCCCTAAGTGCTTTGAGCAGAACAGCTTATTCAGAACATGGGTTGAATAAAGCAAGACCTGAAAAATGAGATGGCACAAAGGAGTTAGACGAAAAGGGAGCCTGGGGTCCTAGGGGACCAATCAAGGACCAAATGAATAGATCATCTGGGTGTCCGTCAATGAAAAGACAGAGATTATTATAGCCGCTAGAAAGAAGCTGGGGGACATGGAAAGCAGAGAGCACCCAACGTATGGATGCCCGGAGTCCTTGAAAGAGGAAAGCCAAGAAATGGCACAGAAGAAGTCAAAGATAACCCCAAGAATCACTCTGAATTGAAAAAAGAGCACGCCAGGTTCCAGGGAAATTTGGTACAGAACCCTCGGAGCCATTCCTGTTGTTGTGCTTTTGAACTTCAAGGAATCCTTTACCCACCAGGCAGATAAAACAAGTCACTTGCAAGAGGAAAAGGATCAGACTGGCTCAGACTTCTCTACAGAAGAAGGGTCCGCGAGTCCTGGGGGAGAGACGCAAAGGCGTGCGGCCCAGCAAGGGGAGGCCTGGTCACCTGCGGATGTTTTCACGGGGGAAATTAGAGCATGTGGGACTTGCGAAAACCTGCTTCGTGATGCAATGCAGCTAAATAAGGGAGTCATTAAAACAAAGACTCCAGGAATGGGAAAACTGTGGAAGAACACAGGTGGTAAGAATTGAATCTGTTTAGAAACACTAACCAGTAGGAATTATGGCTCCTGAACATGATGTGTATGTTATAAACTTGGACTGTGTAGTAATAATAACACAACTAACAAAAAATTGGATGATGGTGAAGGGGAGGTGAAGGGGGCAGAGGACTGATGTTCTCATCTTTCCTAACCAGTCAACTGACCTTGTGCACGGCAGAGACCCAGTGAAAACAGAACTCACTGACTCAAGCATCTTCATGTTTTTCCTGACCTCTCTTGTTAATTTTAGAAGACCCTTTTAGGAAATTATATCTCTTGTGCTGAAGAAATATTTATTTGAAGAGCAAGCAATTCCTTACATTTTATTTCAGTTTCTGGTTAAGTTAAAATACTTTCAATTAAAAATAGCAAGTGTAGCATGGTCCAATTTTAATAAATTCTATCATTCCATCCATCTGTCCATCCTTCTCTATGTCTATCTGCACTTCCTGTGCATAAAAAAATGTCCAAAATTTTGTTCACTTAATGCTAAAGGTCATGTTTTCTAGGCAGTAGGAATTTGGGTAAATGTTCTTAAATAAAATGAAATAGATGAAGAGTCAAGAAAAACAAAGCACTGTTTGGGCCCCTTGGCACAGTGTCTCCAAAGCAGATGGGGACAAGGTGTTAGAAATGCTTTGTCGGGGCACCTGGGTGGCTCAGTCGGTTGAACATCTGACTCTTGATTCTGGCTCAGGTCATAATCTCGCAGTTTGTGAGTTTGAGCCCTGCATCGGGCTCCGTGTAGACAGCGCGGAGCCTGCCTGGGATTCTCTCTCGGCCTCTCCTCGTGTTCTCACACTCTCTCTCAAAATAAGTAAATAAAATAAAAAATAAAATAAAATAGAATAAAAAATAAAATAAAATAAAATAAAATAAAATAAAATAAAATAAATAAAATACGACAAAATAAAGAAATGCTTTGTCATCAGGTAATAATGAAGCCACTGCGTCCTTTCGGATGGGGAGCAAGTTTGGGGCATGAGTTGGGCCATGGAGTGTGGGTTCCTCATGTAGAATCACAAGCCCTGCATGTCCTGTGTCACCCAGAGCCAGGGCCTCCATGGGGAGGGACCCTCTCAGCGGTCTGGGCCCTGGGGGTGAGAGTGCAGGCTTCTTCCCTTGGCTTGCCCACTTGGACCACAGCAAAGGGCCTTTGTAACATCCAGGCTGACTGTTGTTTAGCAGTAAGTGCTGGGGGTGTTCAATGTCCTTCAGAATGGAAGGAGTAATTACTCATAACCTACAGCTTGTCCAAGGATTATCTCATGGTCAGAAGTATTTATAGACCATTTTTCTCCTTAAAGGATATTAGTGTTAATGAAAAACTGCTGTCTCTTTAATTGTACTACTGGCACATGAATGGAAAATATTATCCCAGAACCTAAATGGGAATAATTTCACACTCCAGGGTACTCTTTTTAGGAACAGCAAATGCTTTGTAAGTAAAATGAGCTTAACTGGTGGCAAACATAATTTTAATGGTCATCTCTCGCCTTCATCTGTTGTTGTTAATGATTATGTGATAGATCAAAATTTCGTATTATACTCTGCTTTAGTAAAATGTTATACCATAACAACTAAAGACATTATTATGTCTATGCTCCCAAAGATGGCTAATTATTAGAACCACCTAGGGAGCTTTGAGAAAATACAAATTTCCAGGCTCTACCACAAACATATGGTTGGTTATAAAGCTTCCCAGGTGACTCTGATTCACAGCCAGGGCTGAGAACAACTACTGTAGATGTGGCCAGATGTGGAGCTGTTTGAACAGCCGTCCCCAAGGCTCTAGTGAGCAAATCAGGAGTAACCTGGGAGTGTCCCTAGTGACCACGGTTCTCTATAGTTTTCAGTGACTTTGGTGAAGACCAAGTAACCAAACTGGCCAAATTTTCAGACATGAAACTGGAAGAGATTAAAAGAAAAAACAAAAAACAACAACGCATTGAATAACGGGATCCGAAGGAACACGGCATGCTGGAAGCAGCCAATAAGATGAGATTTGAAAGAATCCACTGGAAAGTTGACAATTCAGGGGAAATGATCAGTTACAAGATGGCTGAGACTTGTCTTGATAGATCAGGTCGTACGAAAAGCACTGAGGCTCATAGTTGGCCTCAAGCTGAAAATGAGCCAAGAGGATGTCCAATCAATGTGACAGACAGAGTTGATACGAAAAATCCTCCTTCTCCCTCTAAATACATAGACATGCTGGATAAGTTCCCAGGTGGCACAAATGAAGACAGAACTGAAAGCCAGAGTGGGGTGAGTGGAAGATGAGAGCAAAGGACCCACAGGGGTCTTCAGGGACCTGAGTCTACTCCAAAGGGCTGCACGGGATGGAGACGGGGCCTCGGCCAGTCCCGGAAGGCGAGAGTCCTGCAGAAAGCCGGGGCCACGGGGAGCTGCCTCATCCATGAGACAGGCTCTTGGAGGACTCTGTTTGCCAGCCAGCAAACAGAGTATGTATGGCTGGATGTATGGCTAGGATGCTGTCCTTCCAGCCAGCACTGTGAAGGGGGGAGTCACTCGCGAGAATCCGGAGCACAGAGCCTGTGCCATGGAGTCTAAGTTCCCATCACCCATGCGATGTGGGTAAGCCAGGCTGAGAAGTTCACAGAACACCTTCCTCAGAACATGGAGCCTGGGTGGCTGGGGCAGAGCTAAGCGGGAGGAGATGCTCAGACCGTACTGCTTCGGCCTTTGTGGGGCCAGAGGTCACACGACGTGCCTGTGCCTGAGCGTGCCAGCGTGGTACTGCCGGAGTGAAGTAGTGACATCACCAGCCAATCGCTGGTCCCCAAGGGCCAGGCCAGGGGCGGGCACTTACTTGTAGTTGTCGTCCTCCACAAACTTCTGGAGCTCTTCGATGTAGCGTACAGACTTCAGGTACTTCTGCACGTGGGGCAGGGTTGTGAGGTGATCTGCAAAACACGGATGAAACCCAGAGGCTTCAGTCTCTCCCCACTTCCAGGCCCCATATGAGAAGTGGGCCACATACCCTGAAATCACCACAGGTCCTTGGCTGGGGAGAGAAAGGCCTCCAGAACAGACCAGAGCCAGGTGTTTGTGCCCTAAAACAGGTTTCCGTGGGGTAACTGGGCAGGCCTCCCACCCCCTGCATGACAAGAATGCAAGATGAATGAACAAGGCCCATCCAGCCTGGTGTGGAGGTCCAACACAGGTCCTAGCACAGCTTGAGAGTCTGGCCCACGGGCAGGAGCTGCTCCATCCAGGGAAGGAAGGGAGGGGTCTAGACGCCTGGGCACCTGCTGTGCCGGGCTAGGTACCAGGTGATTTCCAGAAGTCATCTGCTTTAACTGTCACGCCTGCCTCACTGGGGGGAAATAACGTGCCTGTTGCACAAGAAAAGAAACTATGGCAACTAGCAAAGATCACATTACTGAGAAGTGGCAGAGCCAGGTTTCGACTCCGTCCCTGGAAGCCTTGGCCACGTCGCACAGCCTTGTTGCCAGAGTGACTGATGTCAGACGCTCCCCACAGAACTCCACGGTCACTATTCCAAGGGGGCCGAAAACTCTGTGGTCCTCTCCGCCATTCCTCACGGGGAGGGACAGAACAAGTTAAGGGAAGAAGGGGAGGCATTAAAGGGGGCTGTGAAGAGGAGAGGAAAGGGGGTGGGGAAGGGCCCTGGCTCTCAGGGACGTGCGTCCAGGTGCTGTGAGGAGCCCCTGATGGCTTCGCCCCTCAACTGTGAGATTTGGAACAGATCCTCTTGTATCTCTAGAGCCTGTGTTCTTTTTTAAAAAAACATTTTTTTTAACGTTTATTCATTTTTTGATAGAGAGAGACAGAGTGTGAGTGGGGGAGGGGCAGAGAGAGAGGGAGGCACAGAATCCGAAGCAGGCTCCAGGCTCTGAGCCGCCAGCACAGAGCCCGACGGCAGGGCTCGAACTCACGGACCGTGACATCATGACCTGAGCCGAAGTCGGACACCCAGCCGACTGAGCCACTCAGGCGCCCCTGTAGAGCCCGTGTTCTTGCCCGAAAGTGGAGAGATGACACCTGCTTCCCAAAGCTGATGATAGAGAAGATGCAGGTATGAAGGTGACAGTGGTATGAGGATTTATTGAACTCTACTCAAATGTTGGAATGCGATAAGGGCTCTGCGTGCACTACGTCCCCACTGCTACTGATGGGAAAACCTCAGATTTAGGAGAAAGTGACTTTTCGGGAGGCAGAGCTGAGATTTGAGCTTGAGTCTGACCCCAAAGCCACGTGTGTCACTGCCCTGCAGGCTGGCAGGACAGTGAGGGCTGATGTACTTGTGAATGGAAAAGGGCCTGGGCGGGGGAGGACTGCACGGGGAGCCCGGGCCCCCTGCCGCTCCGCTGGTCAGGACAGCTGATCTGGAAGTGCCTGTGGAGGGGGCCTTTGGCTTCAACAAGCCCACCCTGCAGAGCCCCACCCTGGCTTCCCCATGGCCTTCCCCAGTGGAGGCTGTCAGTTTTCTCATGCCCTGTGAACTGTAGGTGGGGTTGGTTTCCTTCCTGTCCCCCTTTGCTGCTTCCAGACTTTTTACTTCTCCACCCTCTTCTGAAAACCCTGCCCCACGGAGGCCCATTCCTGCAGCTCTACCACCCATCCCTCTCTTCCTTGCTGACCTCTCCCAGCTGGCACCCTGGTCGTTCCCGCCCTTTCCTGGAGGACTTGGGCACCTGGCTCACAACGTAGTTGCACACGGCGGAGTCCGCCATCATCTTGGGGGAAGTCAACACCTGCATGGATGCCCCACCCAGCGTTCTGACTTCTCAGTTCCTCAACCTCATCTTCGACAACCATCAATCACACTTTGGATCTGGTCATGTGGAGCAGAGCCTGGCTAGTTTTCACCAAGTCATTTCCCTTTTCCTTCCAGGCCCACAGCTAGATTACATTTCCTAGCCTCCCCAGCAGAAATGATGAGCGTTATGTACAAATGTGGCCCATAAAATCTACTCTTGGACGATTCTCTCTCTTCCTGCATCTGCCAGGTGGATGTGGAGTCCACTGGAGGTCTCTAAGGCCAGGGGACATGGTGGAGCCACAACGTGGAGAAATCTGGGTCCCTGAATCCTCCTGGAGGAGACCTGCCCAGGGGCTGCCCACAAAGCTCTTCGTGGATGAATGACCTGGGAGCCAGAAAGACCTGGGCGCTGCCAACCCCCAGACGCATGATCTTAGACAGGCGACTGAACAATCTTCAGCCTCAGTCTCCTTGTCTGTAACACAGAGATGGGAACATCTAGTTTTCATCATCTTTGAAGATCAAGCCTGTGGGTAAAGGGTCCTGCACATGGTGGGTGCTCAAGATATGAAAATGAAGAGCTTTGTGGGGACCACCTGGTTCCCAGAGCTTTCTCACTGATGAGGTGCCGAATCCAAACTTCAGTGATGTAAGATTTCACAATTCCAGCAACCAGGGGTACTAACCGTAGCTGCAGGAAACTTGTAAATCAGCGATTATTCGGAGAATGTTGTTCATCTGATTGGATCTTTGTTCGTTTTCCATGATGCTGCCTGAGGCAGGATATGCAGAATCAATGTAGATTAAATCCAGAAGATAGATCCCTAAAATTAAAGAAGATATACAGTAATGGTGGGCACTCGCCATGAATCAGAACAAAACAGCACAAAACAGCACCACTGTGCTAGAAGGTGTAAGGGGTGGCTTATGGAAAATCAAGATATGATTCTGACTTCAATTCCAATCCCGACTGCTAATCTCTCACATAGATGGCTCAAATGTCATCAAATATCTGGGTGACAACCAAAATGAATACTGGCAAGATTTCAGCACTTCTAGTTCATACAGCCTCCAGCCACAAGGGTTTTCACCTGTAACCCAACTGGAAAATCAGATGGATACTTGTATATTTCACCAACCAATGACATTTAATAGGTTCCAAGGTGTCATAACCAGGACAACACCCATTTGGACTAAATTCATTTAAAAAAATTTTTTTAATGTTTTTATTTATTTTTGAGACAGAGAAAGAGCATGAGCAGGGAAGGGGCAGAGAGAGAGGGAGACACAGATCTGAAGCAGGCTCCAGGCTCTGAGCTCTCAGCACAGGGCCCGACGCAGGGCTTGAACCCACAGACCGCAAGACCATGAACTGAGCCGAAGTCAGACGCTCAACCAACTGAGCCACCCGGGGGGCCCTGAATTCGGTTTTTTATTTATTCACTTGGTTATGTGTCTATTTTTATATGTACACACACACACACACACACACACACACACGCTAAAATCATAAATTAACTACGACAAAAGAAGAAATCAAAAAAGCAACAACAGTCCTTGGTACAAAGAACAAAGGCTAGACAGAGAATTCTACTGAGGCAGCTTAATAAGAAAATATTATGTGATACGAAAACATTGCTACGATAGGTCAGTGGTGAGCCTTAGCACAGCCTCCTGGCATCATCCCAGCTGGAATTTGGGACAAGCCACCTGGCCAGGGATGGGAGAGGAGAACTGGCTGTACAGCATGATCCACACTCCAGGCTCTCTGGGGTTGTGCATGGACAATGTTGGCATATCCCCCCCGCAGCCCTCCATGAGCACTACCACTACGTCTACACTTCCGGTGGGCTGAGCAGGAGCAGCGATGTAAAACACAATTCAAGGCAGGAAACACTGGAGAAGGCAAAGAGGAGTGACTGACCGATGTTAACGAAAAGTGCAGTTGATTGAGAAGATCTAATGACTACAAGTTTCTACACACAAAGCAACATTGCATCAAAATATATAAAGCAAAAAACTGCCAGAAAGGAGGTGAATTCAACAAAGCCACAATTATAGAGAGAGCTTCGGCATGTCTCTTCCAGAATGTGTGTGTGTGTGTGTGTGTGTGTGTGCGCATGTGTGTGTATGCACCTACAAGATATACACAGATATACAGATCTATGTACATACCTGTGCATATATGAATACTGACTCACAAAGTTAACAAGGTTATATAAATGAAAATATCAGTCTTTTCAAATACCCATGGGATACTTACAGAAATTGGTTATATATTAGAATATAAAGAAATGCTCATTAAGTTCCAAAAAGTAAATTTAGGAATTAACAATAAATATAGAAAAAATTCTAACTGATTAGAAAATACACACACACACACACACACACACACACACACACACACACACACATATACTCTCTCTCTCTCTTTCTCTCTCTCTCTCTCTCATAAGCAACTCTTGGGTCAAAGGAAAAGCAGAAAATAGAAAACAAAAAAATCACTTGAAGATAATGTCAGTAAGAGCACTGCATATCAAAATCTGACCAAATCTGAGATCTGACCAAAGTGGTACTCAGAGGAAAATTTATAGCCTTAAAAGTTTACTATTAACTACTGAGACTTACTATAGATGTAGTTAGCCAGGTATTTATTGTAAAAGTTGTGAGTATTTTGCATGGATGGACAATGTATAATGACTTATACATTCATTACCTTATTAATCCTTACAACAACCCATTTTACAGAGGAGGAAAAGGAAATGCAGAGGGGAAGCATAATTTGCTCCGGGCCACACAGCTGGTAAGTGATGGAGGTGGGGGTCGCACCCTAGCCAGCCTCCCCACAGCACGGGCTTCCTGCCACCACAGTGGACTGCTGGTGCTGGATACCATGAGTCATTCGTCTGCTTTAAAAATAGCTACGCATTGTTATGGGAAACCATTAAATCACAGAAACATATGCTAGCACTTCTAATAGGAGCCATTTCCACTTCCTTTCTTTCTAGTGGCACCATGTTTCCAAAATTTTAATAATTAGAAATAATTTCCCTTGTATGGAAGCTCCAAGCTTGGTACGTTGAAATCCACACATGTATTCTTTCTTTGGATCTTGTCTTTCCTCTCCCTTCTTAAAAATGTAATTCAGCTACCTCCCCAGGGATTCAGCAGTGGCAACCCTGAGAATCCCATTACTGCTTCAACCACAACACAAAGTACCCTCTGGTGCTGAGCATGACGCGGCGGGATAGGGGACCCGTGGCACCTTTGTTCCAGTTGCAGATTCTGGGCAGATCTGAACCCAGCCGACTGAGTGGCAGAATGAACACTTGGCCAGGAGCAGAGACACTGGGGAGCAGGAAAAGGGAGAAAACTGAGGCTTCTGGAGGCTCTGCTACAAGCTGGGAACTTATCTCCTTACTCACGTGACCCTGCCATCAACCCCTGAGGGTTGAGGAGAAAACTAAAGCTCGGAGAGATTAAGAAACCTGTCTGGGCCTCACAGCGGGTGCGTGGGATTGCAGCCCAGGTCTGTCTGGCTCCTGCCCCGGTGTTCCGACCCACTCACTGGCCCTCAGACACACATGGGGAATCGGCTCTTCTGAAATAACACCCTCAGCATGGAAGGCTTGCTTTGTGTCGTCCTGCAAGGACTGCTTCTTCTCAGGTCCCTGGCTGTGCGAACAGAGGCCAGGAGAAGCTCTCCTTCGAAGGAGTGGCACCCCATTTCTACCCCCCAGCTCCCGCTTGCACCCTGGGGACACGGGGAGCTCACTACTTCATCAGAGATCATTCCACTGTGCAGACTCCAATGCCGTGACGCACTGAGGACTGGGGGATGCGCGGAGCGGGGTGTCTCCTCCCAAAGGCCTGTCCCCAGCGACCAGGGCAGACCCTGAGCCCCGGCAATGCCTGGACAGAAACTCCATCTCAACAGCCTTTTGGTTCCCAAGACAAAAGCTACTCCAAAGGCAGCAAATCTTTTACAGTTAATACTGTGCAAATCCAGAGAAATCTTTTCAGCATTGTTATTAGCCCATAGCTGGAAATATTTAAAAGCCTAAATCATAATGAAATCATAGGCACAGCCACCTCCCACTTGTACTATGCCAGTGCTGTGCTAAGCCCCACATACAGTTAGCACTCACCACAACTGCAATATGATACTTATTTGTATCGTTCATGTATTTAATGTCTGATTCTCCCCATCAGACTTAAAACTCATCAGAGCCAGGAAATGGGTCTCGCTCCAGAGCTCAATCCCCAGCAGCTGGAACAGAGCACACAGGGGCTGCGTGGTAAACATTAGTTGAATGAAGGAATGCATGAATAAAGGCATATTTTATGTAAGCCACACAATCACATCATGAAATACATTATGCTCTCATTTTACAGCTGAGGGAAGAGACACTGAGAGTCAAGTGATAACAATAATAAAATAAATTTCATGAATGTATTTAAAATTTAGCATTTATTTTTTTTTAATTACTTTCTTTCATTTGAAAAGTTTCAGGTGTAAAACACAGTGACTTGACAAGTTTATACACTGTGCTGTGTTCACAAGCATAAGCTGCCATCTGTTACCACACGATGCTACTACAATACCATCAACTACAATCATGCTGTGTCTTCCATCCCCGTGACTTACTCATTCCACAACTGGACGCCTGTATCTCCCACCCGCCTTCACCCTAAAATATACTAAAATTAATTTAACGTTTAAATAAACAAAAATAATAAAACTGAGCACTTACTATGCGCCGGGTCCTAAACTAAGAGCTTATATTGCCCATATTATGCGTTCGTGACAATAACACAGCTGTCAGGGAGGTTTTAGCTCGATTTTTACAGAAGAAACCGAAGCTAAGAGAGTTGCATGGCCTGTCTGAGGCCACCCAGCTGGGAAATGGCCGAGGCAGCATTCAAACACACGTCTGTCCATCCAGGCTGCCATACTGTCAGGCCTTCCTTTACCCCAGACAGATCTCCTGGTGCCTGACAGACACCAAGGCAAGAAAGGGGCATAGCAGAGGTCCCCAGGCTATGTCTCTCCCTGCCCACTTTCCCCTGTGGGGTTAACACTCTCCAAGAGGGCTCACGACTGTATTGTGGCCACCTCTCCTGGCCACACCTTCCATCTCCTCCCCCCTGGCACCCTGGCACTCATCGTGGCATATCTGTCCCAGGTCTCATCGTCACTGGGCCCACCCAGGCCTGGCGGCCCTGCCAGCTGTGCCACATGACAGGCAGCAGTGGCGTTAAGTGGGACAGTGTGGGGCTTGGAGCCAGGAGACTTGCAACCCTGGCTTTGCCACTTACCAGCTGGGTGGCCTTAGGCAAGACTTTCACCTCCCAGGACCTCAGATTCTTGACTGTGATTGGGGTAATGAAGGTGATCCTGAGAGGCCTCCTGGCCCGGGGCCTGGACCACTGAGGTGCCCAAGAAGCTGAGTTGACCCTGAGCCTGCCTCCATGGCCGGGCCCCACTTGGAAGAACGTCGGGACGCCCATGGGAGGGATGCACCCAGCTGGGTTTGGCATAACCATGGATGGCGCCCAGATGCCGACCACGTGGTGGCCACCCATCTCAGACGGGCCAGTGCTGGGAGATTCCGTCTGGATTGGGACGGCACAGCTGGGATGTCTCAGCTCCCGTCCTATTTATTACAGAGTTCCTGCAGCAGATGATGCTGTGTTAATGGCCTTGTTAAGATGGACAGTAATTGGGCCAGCCACCGGCCCTGGCTGCCACAGGGTTGAGCAACGCCAGAGCCCAGGGCTAGACTGGGAGGTGCAGATGCGTTGGGGGAAACATCTGTAATAG